AAAACAAAGCAAAACAAAAGTAAGGTCATTGAAACAGATGAACCTGGAGGACATTCTACGAAGTGAAGTCAGTCAGTCGACAGAAGAGCAAATACTGTATGATTCCACTTATAGGAGCTACCTAGAGTTCAGTTCATAGAGAAGTTTGAATAATGGCTTGCCAGGGGTTGGGAGGGGAGGGGAGAATGGGGAGTTAATTGTTTAATGGGCACAGAAGTTTAGTTTGGGAAGACGACACAGTTTGAGAAATAGGTGGTTGTGATGGTTGCACAATATTAGAAATTATTATTACTTTTTTTTTTTTTGAGAGGGAGTTTTGCTCTTGTCGCCCAGGCTGGAGTGCAGCTCACTGCAACCTCCACCTCCTGCAACGCTCAGCTCACTGCAACGCTCAGCTCACTGCAACGCTCAGCTCACTGCAACCTCCTGCAACGCTGAGCTCACTGCAACGCTGAGCTCACTGCAACGCTTAGCTCACTGCAACGTTGCAGCTCACTGCAACGCTCAGCTCACAGCAACCTCCACCTCCTGGGTTCAAGTGATCCTCCTGCCTCAGCCTCCCGAGTGGCTGGGACTACAGGCATGTGGCACCACAACCAGCTAATTTTGTATTTTTAGTAGAGATGGGGTTTCTCCATGTTGGCCTCGTCTTGAACTCCTGACCTCAAGTGATCCACCCGCCTCGGCCTCCCAAAATGCTGGGATTACAGGTGTGAGCCACCATGAATGTTTTTAATACCAATGAACTGGACGCTTAAAAATGGTTAAGAGGGCTGGTCTCGGTTCACATCTATAATTCCAGCACTTTTGGAGGCTAAGGCAGGGATCACTTGAGGCCAGGGTTTCCAGACCAGCCTGGACACCGTAGCAAGACCCACATCTATACCAAAATTAGCCAGGCATGCTGGCACAGGTGGTGCCTGTAGTCCCAGGTCACTTGAGCCCAGGACTTCAAGGCTGAGGTGAGCTATGATGGTGCCAGCACCCAGCCAGGGCAGCAGAGTGAGACTCTGACTTAAAAAAAAAGAAAGAAAAGGGGGTTAAGATGGTAAATTTTAAGTGATTTGTATTTTACCACAACAAAAAAATTGGAGGCCAGGCATTGTGGCTTATTTGTAATCCCAGTACTTTGGGAGGCTGCGGAGTGGATCACCTGAGGTCAGAAGTTTAAGACTAGCTTGGCTAACATGGTGAAACCCTTATCTCTACTAAAAATACAAAAAAAAAAAAAAAAATTAGCTAGGTGTGGTGGCAGGCACCTGTAATCCCAGCTACTCGGGAGGCTGAGGCAGGAGAATCGCTTGAACCTGGGAGGTGGAGGTTGCAATGAACTGAGATTGCACCACTGCACTCCAGCCTCGGTGACAGAGTGAGACTCCAACTACAAAAAAAAAAAAGGAAAAAAAATCCTAATGCCCTCCCCAAGTGCCGGGATTCCAGTTGTGAGCCACCGTGCCTGATGAAGTCCATGATGTTTAGTATAGTCAGAGTGCAGAGTGATGCAACCATCTTTAAAGTCAATCTTAGAACATTTCTGTTACCCTAGAAAGAAACCTTGCTCACTTTTAACTATCAAGCTGTAATTCCCTCTCCCCCTAGCCCTAGAAAACCAATAATCTATTTTCTTTCTCTATGGATTTGCCCATTCTGGGCATTTCATAGGTGTGAAATCATACACATAGCATTCATGTAAATAGGACTGGACACTGTGTGGTCTTTCGTGTCTGGTTTCTTTCCCTGAGCACAGTGTTTCTGAGGGTCATCCTTGCTGTAGCGTGAGCCAGTGCTTCACTCCTTTTCATGGCTAATATTCCATCTCTATGGATGGACCACATTTTGTTAGCCCTTCATTCACGGATGGACATTTGGGTTTTTTTTTTTTTTTTTAAATTTAAGTTCTAGGGTACATGTGCATAACTTGCAGGTTTGTTACATATATATACTTGTGCCATGTTAGTGTGCTGCACCCTTCAACTCGTCAGCACCCGTCAACTCGTCATTTACATCAGGTATAACTCCCAATGCAATCCCTCCCCCCTACCCCCGACATTTGGTTGTTTCTACCTTTTGGCTCTTGTGAAGAATGCTGCAGTGAACACTGGTGCACGTGTTTTTGTGTAGACATATGTTTTCATTTCTCTGGGATCAGTACCTAGGAGGGGATTATTATTATTATTGAGACGGAGTCTCGCTCGTTGCCCAGGCTGGAGTGCAGTGGCGTGATCACAGCTCACTGGAAGCTCCGCCTCCCAGGTTCATGCCATTCTCCTGCCTCAGCCTCCCCAGTAGGTGGGACTACAGGCGCCCGCCACCTGGCCCGGCTAATTTTTTGTATTTTTAGTAGAGACGGGGTTTCACCATGTTAGCCAGGATGGTCTCCATCTCCTGACCTCGTGATCCGCCCGCCTCGGCCTCCCAAAGTGTTGGGATTACAGGCGTGAGCCACCGCGCCCGGCCAGGCGTGGATTATTAATTTAAATCTTTTTCCATCCTGGGTTTTCAGGAGGCAACATCATCCTGGCCTGCCGAGACATGGAGAAGTGTGAGGCGGCGGCAAAGGACATCCGCGGGGAGACTCTCAATCACCACGTCAACGCCCGGCACCTGGACTTGGCTTCCCTGAAGTCCATCCGAGAGTTTGCAGCGAAGATCATTGAAGGTAGGAGGAGAATGCTGGCCGTGTGGGATGAGGACTGGCAGAGGCGGCTCCCAGGGCCAGGCTCTGAGGAGTGAATGGAGCAAGCAAACTTCAGAGCAGAGTTTTGGCAAACCATGGGCTAGGGGCCAAATCCAGCTGCTGCCTTCTTTTGTACAGCCTGCAAGCAATGACTTTATTTATTCATTTATTTATTATTATTATTTTTTGAGACAGAGTCTCACTCTGTCGGCCAGGCTGGAGTGCAACGGCACAATCTTGGCTCACTGGAACCTCTGCCTCCTGGGTTCAAGCGCACAGCCTCCTGAGTAGCTAGGATTAAGGTGCCCGCCACCACACCCTGC